CTCTCTCTAGTTCTCTCTCTCTCTCTCTCTTATACACACACAGACACACACACAGACACACAGACACACACACATAATTCATTTGTTGAAGATACTGGACCATTTGTCCTGTAGAGATTCTTGAAATCTAGGCTTTGCCAATCCCTTCCCCATGATGTCATCTATCATGTTCTCCTGACTCCTGTATTTTCTATAAATCGGCAGACTGATAAAAAGAGAGTCTTGGCAAGGCTTCTTTCTTAGAAGTGGTATGTATTTCCATCACAAGGTGCACAGAATCTTGTCCCCCTTTGTATGACATTCAGCAGCCATTAATGATATTCTCTATACATTTATTAAGCTGGCTTTTAAAAATTGATGGTGTTCTACTTCTGTTGTACTTTCTCTGTTTATTGACTGGCATACTTATCAAATGTGAAACTCCCTCTCATCAACTATTTGATTAAGGTACAGTTCCTGTTGGAAAGCATTCCTTCCTTTTGTGGTTTTTCCTTTTATTTACCAATTTTCCAAATAATGAGATGACTTCCAAGTATTGTATGAAGTGATCACTGTGGTATTTTGTTTTATTATCATTGTAAAGTAGGATTTATGTTTTATCCACTGATGTTATTTTCCTTATTGATACTCAGATTGTGATACCTTTTGCTTCAACCTACTGTTGACATGCCAAAACACTCCAGCTTGATCTGGTAAGTTCCTGGCACCAGCCACCATATTCCTGTCACCAGCCCTAGAAGCATCCATGTTTCCTGGGAGGCCTGGGTCCTTTTAATGGAAGTGGTATTTAGAGATGGAAATCCAGGCATTGCTGTTCCTTACTGGTCATTGCTGTTGGGTTGGTCTTATTTCTAGGGCCATTCATCAGATCAAGCTAGGATATGTTTGTCCATTTTTTGGTTTTTGATAAAACATTGTTTTAGTCAGCTTTTTTGGTACTGGACCAAAAGACCTGACAAGAACAATGTTTAAGGGGGAAGAGTTTATTTGGGGCTCCTATTTCAGAGGTCTCAGTCCATAAATGGCTGATTCCATTGCTGTATGCCTGAGATGAGGCAGAACATCATGGCGGGAGCATGTGGAGGAGGAAAGCAGCTCAGGACATGGCTATCAGGAAACAGAGAGAGACTTTGCAGGCCAGGGACAAAATATATACCCTGAAGTCACATCCCCAATGACCCACCTCCTCCAGCCACTACTTGCCTATAGTCACCTCCCAGTTAATCTCATCAAGGGAATCAATGCACTGCTTAGGTTAAGACTATTATAACCCAATCATTCCACCTCTTAAACTTTCTTGCATTGTCTCACACATGAGCTTTGGGTGGGGTGGGGGCACCTAATGTCCAAACCATAATACACATTGTAAGTATCAACTCAAACTCAAGACAATGGGATTTGATGGAACATCATCAAATGACATCTATGCTTTCTTTCTCTTATGTTGGAAATCCCACTTTCCGGTGACTTCAACAGAATTCTCATTCATGCTCCAAACAGCCTCAGAATAACAATTCTGATATAATAATCAACAAGATAATTCTAGAAAATATTTTTTAAAGTTTTTCTTGGGACTAGGGATGTGGGTCAGTGGTTAGAGCGCTTGCTTAGCATGTGTGAGCCCCTGGGTTCAATCCCTAGCACTGCAAAATAAATAAATAAATAACAAATTTTCTTATCATCTGGCTACATCCTACTAGGAGCATCAAGTCACATTATTGTTTTAAAGTCACTTCACTGTGTAGTTATGCTATCAACTCAACAAACATTGTTTATATGTTTTATTTTACTTTTCAGATGCTTTTAAATGTTAATTTTGTTTTACATGACAGCTTATCTACCCGTTTCAAAGGAGTCTCGGAAGGCTGTGGTGATGGATGGAGAGATGACTAGTGGCTTCCATCTTGCTCTTATTCTCTTTCATTCCATATCCAATTTTTATTCCCAGTTGAGGAGGCTGCTGACCAGCAGTGGCCCCAGGCCACCACAGATGCTGACTGATCCGGAGACATTGGCTCTGTGGTGGAAACAATCCCCAAGACCTCCCGTGAGCCTCCCTTGTGGGTCCATTTCAGCAGCTGTACATACTTGGTTTCTCAGAAGGACTGGCTAGTGACTCCTCTGATCCCCAATTCCTTTAGTCACTCTCTTCCCAGCTTCATTCACAATTGCTATGACAAATCCCAAACCCACAACCTCAAAGTCATTTTGTCCCTTGATTGACATATAACTGTTTTTGTGGCTTGCCTTTATACTGTTTGAATCAATCCTATATTCTGCCTTTCTTTACAGTAGCATACCACACACAATCTTTTTGCTTTGTGAATTTTTTTGGTAGTGGCTTTACTGACATAATTCACATGTCATACAACTCACCCACGTAAGTGTGCAACTCAGTGATTTTTAGTATTGCGGAGTTATGTAACCATTAGCCACCCCCTCAGGTAGTCTTCCCATTCCACTCCCGCCCCTAGAATGGCTAGGCAACCATTCATTGACTTTTTTGGATTTGCCTGTTCTGGATATTTATTCATACAACCCACTGCAGAGATCTCCAGCAATAGTCAGGATCATCCTCTATCCTTTTTATAGCCTCAGAACTCTCCATTGTGTGGCTTATTCAACCTGTCTCTTTGCGGATGGACATTTTCCCTATTTCCGGTCTGTTGTCACTACAGTAGAGTTACAACAAATAGCAATGTGCTTGTAGTATTTGATGTGTTTACCAGGGTATCTCTGGCATCTGTACTTAAAAGTGAGATTGTTGGGTCAGAGGGTAAATGCAAGCCCGTAATCCCAGCTACTCGGAAGCTGAGGCAAGAAAATTGAAAGTTCGAGGTCAGCCTGGGCAACTTAGTGATATCCTGTATCAAAAAGAAAAAAAAAAAAAAGTGCTTGGTATATAGCTAAGTGGTAGAGTGCTGGCCCAGAAGGTGAAGCCCTGGGTTCAATCCCCAGTGCCCCCGAATCCCAACATCTTTGAAATGATATACATCATTACCAAGCTACAGAGCAGGAGCCCTGAGAGCAGAGCTGGAGAAGCCTACTAGAGAAAGCCTGTAGGGCCTTCTAGGCTGATCTAGAAGCAATAGGTGGGTGAGGTTCAGCCTGGGCCAGGGCAGCTGCTGTGGGGAGAATGAGCAGGCCTGTGCCTGGTGAGAGGCCTCATTCCCTGTAGGTCTTTCCAGTGCTCATTTACATCCTCTTGGGTCTCATCTCCAGGTTCCACAGAGAAAGCTAGGAGGACTATGGATAGTACCCAGGTAGCAGTGGTTGCAGGAGGGTGATAAAGCTGCAGCCTCTTTTCTCTGCAGATGTAGGGGCACAGACATCAAAGATGGCAGCTGGCACCCCACTGGTATGAAATATAATCTCTTCTGATGTGTTTAATGTGTATCTTTTTGTTTGTGTATGTCTTTGAATATTTAAGTTTTGGCATGTACTGTTTTTTTTGGTTCTGGGGATTGAACTCAGGGCAATCTACCACTAAGCTACATACCCAGTTCTTTTATTTTTTATTTTGAGACAGGGTCTCCCTAAATTGCTGAGGGTCTCACTAAATTGATGAAGCTGGCCTCAAACTTGTGATCCCCCTGCCTCAGCCTCCCAAATAGTTGAGATTACATGCATGCACCACTGTGCCTGACTCTTTAGATATTTTAATATATATATATATTTTGGTTCCTGGGATTGAACCCGGGGGTGCTTTACCCCTGTGTTACATTCCCAGACCTTTTAATTTTTTAATTTTGAGGTAAGGTCTCACTAAGTTGCTTAGAGCCTATCTAAATTGCTGAGGCTGGCCTCAAACTTGTGATCCCTCTGTCTCAGACTTCCAGGTCACTGGGATGACAGGTGTGGGCCACCACACCCAGCTAAAACCTTTTAATATTTTTATTACTGTTGTGTTACAGGTATTTTTCCATCCAGCAGTAGGTGTTTACATCCATGTTGCCATGAACACACCTGGTCCCTTGCTGCTTTTGGGGGGGGGGGGGGCAGGAGTACTAGGGATTGAATCCAGGGGTGTAATCCCATTGAGCTACATCTCTGGCCCTTTTCATTTTAAAAAATTTGAGACAGGTTTCCCCAAGTTACCAAGGCTGGCTTGGAACTTGCTATCCCCTGCCTCAGTCTCCTGAGTTGCTGAGATTACAGGCAGGCCCTGGCCCCTTGCTTCTAAGGCTGCATAGTGCCAAATTTTACCCATTCACTCTCCCAATGTCGAGCAATTTAGGCTGCCTCCAACTCCTGGTGATCCAGCAACTAACATTCTTCCACGTGTCCGTTTAGGGGCTTGAAAGGGAATTTTGGGGCTCTGTATGTAAGAATTAGATTTTAGGGTCATAGTAATAGCTCACTGTGAATTTCCCTCATTACTGCCAGACTTTGTTCCAGAATGACAGCCTCGGGCTAGTCCACCAGCAGTGCGACAGCTGGGAAAGCTCGACATTCCCACTGACATTTGGCATCATCCAGCTTTCTCATTTTTACCAGTCGATTGGTGTTACACCTCATTGTCATTGTAACCTGTATTTTTCTGATCACAAATGAATCTGATCATGTTTTCACAGACTCGCAGTCTTTGTCGGGGTTTCTGTTCCTTAAATGCCTACTCCAGTCTTTAGGGGTCTGACTTTCTAATCCTGGGAGCGATCAGACAAAGGCGCCTGAGTCCAGGGTGGGAGATGCCGGCCAGAGGCCTTGAGAGGGGCGAACTCTCAGGGGCAGACACGCCCAGGTGGACTGTTGAGGAGCCCTGCGTGCCCTGTCCGGCTTGATTCGGGTAGGAAGGGCGCCGGGCGGTGGGCAGGGTGAAGAAGCAGGAGGGGGAGTAACCAGACGCCTGCAGCAGCAGTAGCAGGGGCGCAGGATCTGGAGGAGCCGCTCCTATCCAGGGCTCTGCATCCGCCCTCGGTGCTCCCAGGCTCTGAGCCGGCGAACGCGCGCCTCGTGCCCGGGCACCCGCGCACCCGCGCACAGGGCTGCGGGGCGGCGGGATGGAGGAGGAGCTGGCGTGGGAGACCCACGGCTGTGAGTCGGCTGCGCCGCGGGAGGGGTGACTCCGGCGGGCCTGGGCCGACAGGACCCGGACATTCGCGTAGGGCAGCCAAGGGAGAGGTTGGCGCGGTCTGCCTGGCCACCTCCGTCTTGGGCTTCTTTATGGCTCCAAGCAGAACGCACAGCTGGCCAAGGGGGGCATTGGCCGCACCTCTGGGACTTGGGGGCGCCACCCATCTGGCCAATTAGAAGCTGCGGCCAAGGAGACATTAGCTAGACAGAATAAAGGTAATAGAGATCCTTACTGGATCTGAACTGGCTTTGTGTGCCGGGCCTTGAGGCAGGTCAGGCATGATGTTTAATCTTCACTGCAGCCGCACAGGTAGGACCTATTGTTATCTCCATTTTGCAGATGAGATAGCTGAGGCACAGGGCCATTAAGTAAGTTGTGCAAGGTCACATGGCCATTAATTGGTAGAAATGCTGGCGATCCCAGCTTTCTCAGAATGTTGGAGTTGGATGGGAAATGGAAACCATATCAAATGGGGAAGCTGAAACCCAGAGGAGAGGAGCTGAGGCCAGCTCCAAGCTGGATGAGGGCACCCCAGAGACTTCCTCCAGAAGTGTGCCCACTGCCAGGACTCCTAGGTGGGGTAGTAATATTCCTGAGGCACCAGCTAACCTGGGTGTAGCTTTGGCTGCACTGCGTGAGAGAGGGGAGAGGATTATGTCAGTATCTGCACTGTGAAGCCTCAATCCTGCCGCCTTTGGTGAGCCCTGATACCTGAACTCAAGGGCTCCTCATTAAATCCCCATAGTACAGCTCACTGGTGTTCCATATGATGGAGCAAACTATCCACTCAGCTGAGGGATGGTGTTGGGAGTGGTGGGCTCCTTCAAAGTGTTAATTAAGGGGGTTCTTCTTGGGGCAGAGCTCACTGGAGCTGGCCTCAACTCAAGTAAGCTTCACATTCAAAGCATGGGTAGCAATGGAGTATGTGGGAGGGATTCTGGGTGCAGGACAGAGCATGGGGAAAGGCTCAGTGCATTTGCTGTGGCTGGAAGGAAGGTACATGAGGCGAGGTGAGTGGAAGAGATAGACAGAACTTGCTTTCATTGTCAATTGAGCTTCTCTGGTCACTGTATGGAGTGTCTGCTTGTTCCCCATTGGGACTCTTGGTTATTTGTCAATACAAACCAGGCCACTCCCCTGAGCTTCAGCTAGCATAGTGGGTGTAGAAACTGGAAAGAACCTGAATAGATTCTTCTGTCCCCCAATTTTACAACTGAGGAAACTGAGACCTGTAAAGGGACTTGACTAGCCCAGGATTGTGCTGCTGGAAAGTGGCATAGTAGGGCCTGGAACCCACACTCAGCTGGCTCACACCTGAAATGCTAGCTCCTCTGAACCTAGGTCATGGTGGTTTTTAGGCAAAAAGTTGAGGAAAGAAAAGTGCAGCCGGGCACGGTGATGCACACCGGTAATCCTAGTGTCTTGGGAGGCTGAGGCATGAGGATTGCAAGTTCAAAGCCAGCCTCAGCAATTTAGTAAGACCCTGTCTCAAAATAAAAAAAATTAAAAGAGCTGGGGATGTGGCTCAGTGATAGAGTGCTCCTGGGTTCCATCTCCAGTACCCACCCCCCAAAAAAAGAAAAAGAAAAAAAGAAAGAAAGAAAAGTAAGTGCAGGACAGCATGTGTTAAAGATTCTTAGGATCTGAGAAAGATTCTTTTAAAGCCTGTTATGCTATGTTGAGAAGGTCTCCTCACCTTTTCAGGGAAGGCAGACCCTTTGGGACAGGGAAAAGTGGAGCCATCAGTGGAGACCACACTTGGAAGGTGGCATTTCTCTCAAATACCCTCCTCTAAAGTATTGGGGTAAAGCTGCATTTCCCTCGGAGCTTCTTTCCTGCTGTTAACCTGAGTTTATATTTCACTTTTCTAGGGGACTAGTGAATTTCAGTTGGGGCACATCTTACAGTCTAAAGGCCAACCTTCCAACCCCAGGAAATTGAATGAGTTGTGTCTCACACATTTATTTAACAGATCTGTGCCAGGGCACAAATTTGGAACTATAGATATCAACAAATCAGACAAAAATCTCTCTTGTCATGGGCTTATGTTAAAAGGAATAAGCTGGCCTGGTGACTTAGTGAGACCCTGTCTTAAAATAAAAAAATAAAAATAAAAAAGAGGGATGGGGTGCTGGGATTGTGGCTCAGCGGTAGAGGGCTTGCCTAGTGTGGGCGGGACCTGGGTTCGATCCTCAGCACCACATAAAAATAAAGCATTGTGTTGTGTCCATCTACACCTAAAAAAAATAAATAAATAAATATTTAAAAAAAGAGGGATGGGTTGTGGCTCAGTGGTGGAGCACTTGATAACACATGTAAGGCACTGGGTTCAATCCTCAGCACCACATAAAAATAAATAGATAAAATAAAGATATTGTGTTCACCTACAACTGAAAATATAAATTTTTTAAAAAGTAAGTAAAAGGGGCTGGGGTGTGACTCAGCGGTAGAGCGCTTGCCTAGCATGCATGAGGCACTGGGTTCGATCCTCAGCACCACATAAAAATAAAAAATAAAGATATTGTGTCCTCCTAAAACTAAAAAAAAAAAAAAAACAATTTAAAAAAAAGTAAGTAAAAAAGAGCTAGATAGATATATAGTGGTAAAGTGCCCAGGATTCAATCCCCAGTACATGCACACACACACACACACACACACAAAGGAGCAAGTAGATAATATAAATATGTAAAATAACATATGGAAAGAAATGATGCCAGGAGGTAAATAGGGAGTCCTTTCCTTGGATGGGCTTCACTGACTCAGGGGCCCCTAAATGAAGGAGGCATCTCCAGGTCTTTGGCCAACAGAAAATATTCCCTGACTCTTTGCCTTGGAGGAATAGTGGTAATGATGATGGTGATGGTGGTTTGGGCACATAGTGGTAAAGATGGTAAAGATATATATTTTTTTTTTAGTTGGAGATGGATACACAATATCTTTATTTATTTGAATGTGGTGCTGAGAATTGAACCCAGTGCCTTACACATGCCAGGCAAGGGTGCTACTGCTGAGCTACAACCCCAGCCCAAGATATATTTTTAATCATTATATGAACTTTGCAGGGGAGAGTTCATGTCCCCATTTTGCAAATGAGGAAACTGAGGCACCAGGTGATTAAGTAACATAAGTCACAACAGCTAGAAATGGTTCCTCCAGAGTTGAACCCAGGGCCATGTAATGGTCCTAAGGCAGAAACTATGGCACTCACAAGTCATCGCCATGAGGACCTAGAGAGCCCATGACTTTCTTTAACATCTGGAAGGCTGTGGAAAAGCAAACTGCATGGCGGGCCTGTCACTTCAGTGCATCCTAACCTTCCCTGTCAAGAGAATAACCACCTGTCCCTGGATACACCAGGGCTGGATCCAAACATTCACACTGGACCAAACATGTGGGATGTGGGTTTGGCAACAACATAAACACAAAATTACTTGCCCTGGAGTGACTGTGCAAAGGTCTAGAAAATATTTGTCCCCTGTTATGGTGGATCTGAGCCCTTCTAGAGTAGGGTCAGGCATTCATTAGTCTGGGGATTAATAGTGACACTCATAGAAGCAGAGCTTTGTAGATTTCTCCTGTGTCCAGCTTTGGGTCTGCTGAGAGCTGTGGATGGATCAGGATGAGCAGAAGTGGCCGGGATCCCCAAAAGCTTCTGGTCTAGCCAAGGAGACCAGAGTCTCACAATTAAGAGCAGTCAGGATAACCGCAGTACTGGGGGTTAGGTGGGGTGAGCCCCAGACCATGTCATCAGCCTTGTGTTCTCCAAACTCAGATGCTAACTTGCCGTGTGGCACTGATTCCCCCCAATGCTTGTGACAGGTTGGCAGGGGCAGCTCTGAGTTCCCAGCAGTCTGAGAGTCTGATATAAGGACGTAGCTACCAGGGTGACAGTGGAGAAAATAAACCACAGGGGAGGCAAAGCAGGGTGGGCCTCAGATTGCAGAGGTGGAAGGACTGGGATCTGGGGATGAGGGGTGGAACCAGGAGGTGAAGGTGTAGAAGTGGAGCAATGAGCCTCCAGCCTCACCTGAGGCTGACACAGGGAATCCTGGCTGCCTTCTGCACCAGATTGAGCTATGCAGACTGGAGCTACTGACTCCACTGGGAATGAATTCCATTCCCCTTCCCCAAGAGAAGCTCTTCCTGCCCCCCCCCCCCTTTCTCGGTACTGGGAGAACCAAGGAGCACTTTACCACTGAGCCACATCCCCGACCTTTTTTATTTTTCATTTTGAGACACTGAGTTGCTTAGGGCCTCACTAAGTTGCTGGGGCTGGCTTTGAACTTGCAATCCTCTTGCCTCAGCCTCTTGAGTCACTGGGATTACAGGCATATGCCACTGTACTTGGCCAAGAGCAGCCCTTAAAAAATATGGGAGACCCTTCTGCTCAACCCACATCACTTTCTCCCCTCAGTACTTCCCCTGGAGAGGCAGCTCCATGAGGCTGCCCAAAAGAACAACATTGGGAGGATGAAGGAGCTGATGGGGAGGAGGGTTAACATCCGGGCCAGAAATCACGTAAGTAATGGGCTCCCACAAGGTGACAGCATCACACAGGGGGACAGTACATTGAGCTGGAGACAGACGCTTTGCATGTGCTAATTTGGCGGGAGGTACGGGATCTGCATCCTCTCGAGGTCTCTGAGACTCTGGAGTGGTAGGGATTAAGGTCAGGATGCTGTTAGGCAATTCCAAAGCTCCGACTCTGAATCCTGGTTACCCATCAGAAAGACACACCTAGGACAAAGGCTAGAGCCACAGAAGGACAGGGGGCTGAAGGTCAACAGTCAGGGGCTGGCCCATGGGCAGCAAAGTGCAGGTTCCGGGAGGGACAGAGGCCCAAGGGAATGCTGCATGCAGGAGTTGGGGAGACATAGCCTTGCTGGTGAAGGGGACAAGAGGGAGAAGCCATTCTTTCTGTGGGGGACATGAGGGACAGACACCTCCCTGCCTTGGGAATTCTGACTGTCAGGAACTTCTTGGAGAAGATGCCAGGTCCTGGCTAGAAGGAGTAGATGCAGGATTCCTGACTGCAGAAAGAGGTCACATTATATGGGGTGACATGACAGGTGCAGCCTGGGGCACATAATGGTAACAGGAGTTCTGGGATGTATCTATTATATCTTGGTTTTCAGAGCACTTGTCCTCTTCCTTCCTAGTGGTCTTCACTTATCACTGTTCCCTGGGAGTGATAAGGAGGCCAGGAAGTACTAGCCCTGTGTATAGTCCAAAGCAGTGCAGCGGGCCACAGGTCACTTTAGGTCATACAGCATGTTGTTGGTGACTGAAACCTTGGTCTCAACATGCAAGGAAGCATGACCTTGTAGGATGATAGGATGCCAGCGCCACATTCACTAATTCATTCCTTCTTTTGCACACTCATTGGCTCATTCATTCATTCATTAAGTTATTCATTAAGGCGTACTCTGCTTAGCCCTGTGCTAGTGCTACGGACAGAGTAGAACCCATGACAGACATGGTTCTTGCCCTGGTGGAGCCAATGGACTGGTGGGGAGGACAGACACTAAGCAAAGCATCTTAAAGTCCTTTCCCACTGTGAAAAGCTGTCCTGAGAGCACTGGGAGAAGGGTCAGAGGGGGTTTGCCCACCTAGAGTGGTCAGGGCAAGCTTCCAGGAGCCAGGTGAGGAAGGGCACTGTCCAGGCAGAGGGAAGAGCATGGGAAGAAGGAAAGAAGGAACAGCCTGTCCCCCAGGTAGGAGATGTGACTTGTCTGAGATCACACAGTGTTTCCTTTCATTGTCCCCCTCATAAGCTGAGGGGACAGTGCTGCAGAAGGCAGGAGCAGACTCTGGGTGGGAAACTGACCACCCTCAGCCAGCTCAGATGTGCTGAGGCCACAGCCCATGATGAACCTGCAGGGTAGTCTGAGAATGAGGTGGGCAGTTAGGCCCTTTCAGCCCTATTCTGAGGGAAGAACCCCAGGCACTCGGGATGGAGGCCTTGGGGATTTGGGGAATAATTCAAGTTCAACTAGCAGGAACAAAGGTCTAGCGGTGGGAATTTGTTTGGCATTTTTGAGGAAGCAGTGGTGTACATTGCCAGGCCACGCACAATCCTGTAGGCCCTAGAGTTAGGAGTCTGTCCCAAGAGCAGTGAGAAGCTGTGGAGACTTTTAGGTGGGGACAGAAGCACGCAGTCATTGTGTCTCACTGTGTTTATTTTGCCTTCTGCTGTGTCAGGGACAGTGGGGCTAAAGTGGGGCTGGGTCCTCAGCCAGATGGTCACCAGAGCCAGCAAAAGGCCCTTTCAGCCTGCAGACCAGTTTTCCTGGTGGGGCAGGTGTGGAGGGCGACAGTGATAAGTTTCCTCTCCCTCCTGCAGGTGGGCAGGGTGGCTCTGCACTGGGCTGCGGGTGCAGGGCATGAGCAGGCCGTGCGGCTGCTCCTGGAACACAAGGCTGCTGTGGACGATGAGGACATGGTAGGGGTCCCTCTCGGAGGCGTGTCTGTGTGTGCTTGTCTGTCTCAGGCTAGGGCAGAGATCCCAGGATCTCTCTGGGTCTGTGTAAGCCAGTTGTAGTTGCTGAGATTGTCACTGATATGCAGGTGCTCAGTGGGGAGTCAGCTTCAGGGCCTAGTGAAACCACATCAATTCTATTTTTCCCTTGCACAGTGATAAAGAGCTCTCCATTGTCAAGGGCCTTTCAGTTCTAAGAGCCTTTCTCAGTCCCTTATGATACCATGAGGACAGGGAGAGCTGTGGGCTATAGAACAGATAATTGGGTGTTGGTAAAGGCCAATAAAAGTCATCAGGAAGAAGGTCTGTCATGGCAGGACACAGCCCTGCCCTGGCTAACACTTTAACCAATGACTCGCATAGAGACTAATGGTCTTACTGAGAAAATGAACAGCAAGCACCATTGTTGAGAAAAAGAAAGCACTGAAGGCTAACATCTGCAAAATTAGCTCTACAGGTTTGAGGATCCAGCTGAATCTGATAATGACATTTCCTAAGAATACATTTAAGGACCTAAATTTAAGGATGGGGGTGTAACTCAGTGGTAGTGCGCTGTGCAAAGCCCTGGGTTCAATCCCTCATATTGGTGGTGGTGGTGGAGCAGGTGTGAGGAGAGAGAATTAATATAAATTTAAATTTTCTAAAAAGATCATAAATTTGCCTGCAGAGATTTAGTTGTCCATGGAAACACTGTTTTTTGTTTTTGTTTTTTCAGTGCTAGAGAGCAAGCCCAGGGCCTTGTGCATGCTAGGCACGTACTCTACCACTGAGTTACGTTCCCCAGCCCCCTTTTTTTTTTCTGAGACAGGTTCTTGCTAACTTGCTGAGGCTGGCCTTGAGCTTGCAGTCCTCCTGTCTCAGCCTCACAGGTAGTTGGGCATCTGGAAATACTTCTTTCCTTTCTGGCTTCTCTCTGGTCCCAGGTCCCACCATGAGGGGGACTTGATTACTAGCTGAGGTTGGGGTGTGGCAGCAATATCTCCCCTCCCCACAACCCTAGCCCCATTTCCAAGAGAAGCCCCAGAAGTGATGTGGTCAAGACTGTCCTCACCATGCAGGGCCCCTAACATGGCTGAGGTCCCTGGAGATGACCTTGGAGCACTCAGAAGTGGAGTTAAAGCAGCCCTCAAATGGGTGATCAACCTATTTCCAGCTGCTGAGAGGGACCACGGGGTGAAAGGGGCCAGAGTGCCAATTGCAGGGCAGGGCTAGGAGTGTCTGACAGCGGTGTCTGACCGTGTGTGGCTGTCTTGTGAGGCAGGTAGTGCTGCACACAAAGCCATCACCTGGGGGATGTTCTAGGAAGATTTCAACAGTGATTCTCAGGCTCAGTCCTGGGTGAGGTCTTCACCAGCCATCAGGTCAGACAATAAGGACAAAATCATATGCTTTTGATGACTCTGGATTATAATGAATATATTCTGAGGTTGGCTCCTTTCATATTTTTAAAAAATGGTTCTTCCTTATAGAACAATGATGAGAGTAGATGGTAGCTGTTTCATTTTTAGATTTGATCTAGCAAAATAATCCCCCAAAATTCCTGGTCTTTAAGTTCCTAAAGCTTGGTGCTCTCTGTAACTGAGTGGCACTTACAGTCCTTATGGTTGTATGGTTTGGCCATGTAGATGCAGGGCCCCCGGTGGCATGGCCACGCCTCCTTATTCTCTTTACCTCTCTGTCCTTTCCCCCAGTTTGGGATGAACGCGCTTCTCCTGTCTGCCTGGTTTGGTCACTTGCGAATCCTCCAGATCCTGGTCAACTCTGGGGCCAAGATCCACTGTGAGAACAAGGTAAGACCCAGCCCACAGCCCCTGCCCTCTGAGGTTGGCTCCCCCTGACCCCAGACACACAGATCTGCTCTTAACTCTGTCCCTTCCTGCCTCTGCAGCTCCCAACTTGCCCCATTCTCTGAGAATCCCCCCCCCCCCCCCCCCCCCCCCCCCTCCCCCTGCCCTGGGAACCCCCCCCCCCCCCCCGCCCCCGTCAGAAGCTGTGCTGAGCTCATTCCAAGCTGGCTGCTTCCCCTGGGGCTTGGGAGAAAGGTCTGGAGGAGCTTCCAGTGTTTTCAGCAGCAGCAGCAACAGCAGGGAAAGTGACAGGCTTTTTCTTTGGTTCCCACACCTTTTACTACTTTGTAATGCTGGGACAATCCCCAGCCCTCTGGTTGGCCTCCTTATTTATAGGAGAGAAGTCAACAAACACCCCCGAGGGTAATTTAGGAGGATGAACAAAAAGGGAGGTGGGTTCACCTCCACCCTCCTCCCTTGTGCTCAGTGGTGGGATGGAAGGACCCCATTTACCAACCCCGGGACCTCGAGTGAGTTACTTTATCGGCCTGAGCCTCAGCTTTCCTCTTAGGAATGGGGATGCTCTCTCTCTCTCTCTCTCTCTCTTTTCTTTTTAATATTTATTTTTTAGCTTTAGGTGGACACAATATCTTTATTTTATTTTTATATGGTGCTGAAGATTGAACCCAGTGCCTCACACATGCCAGGCGAGTGCGCTATTACTTGAGCCACATCCCCAGCCCCCGGGGATGTTCTTACACCTTGGAACTGTAGGAGAAGCCAGCACAGCGCTGCATATGACATATAAGATTGGGTGCTGGCACCCTAGGGAACCCAGCAGCCCTCATGGCTCACTGGTGTGTGTGTGGTTTCAGGGAGGAGGGCCCCAGCAGGTCAGAGTGCGGGGAACCCTCCCCTGGCCTCTTACCTTTTAGAGTGCTGCTGGCCCTTCAGGAAATGCAAATATCTTCTTATTCCAAATGCCTTTGGCCAGGAATTCTCAAACATGGGTCCTTGGAGAGAATTCAGAGGACCTATAAAGTTGGATCCAAAAAAGTGCATATTTATTTTCATTAATGTCTACTTGAAAACCTAAAATTTCTTTCAATGAAAGAAAATGTAGTTGTTTTCATATTAATTAAAGTCTTTGCAGTTATATTAAAATACTCCTGGGCTGGGGCTGAGGCTCAGCAGTAGAACACTCCTCTCACATGTGTGAGGCCCTGGGTTTGATCCTCAGCACCCCATAAAGATGAATAAAATAAAGGTATTGTATCCATATACAACTAAAAAAATATTTTAAAAAATACTCCTTACATTCATCATTACTTTAAAATTATGGTGGTAATCAGACTCTTTTTTTTTAAGAGAGAGAGAGAGAGAGAGAGAGAGAGAGAGAGAGAATTTTCAATATTTATTTTTAGTTTTAGGCGGACACAACATCTTTGTTTTTGTATGTGGTACTGAGGATCAAACCTGGGCCGCACGCATGCCAGGCGAGCGCGCTACCGCTTGAGCCACATCCCCAGCCCCAATCAGACTCTTTACTAATGGTATTGTTTAATGTATCAGTATAGAAACAAATGTTACTAGATTGAAAACTGGTTCTTAATATTTTGATAACTATATTTCAGTGAAATTGGTTTTCTCTTATGACAGGCAGAATAATGCCCCCCTACAAAGATGTCCATATATTAATCCCTAAAACCTGTGAACCCCAGAGCCTAACACGACAAAAAGAATTTTGCAAATACGATTAAAGTAAAGACCTTGAGTTAGGGAGATTATCTTGGATTATCCACAGGGGTCTAATGCATTCACAGGGGTCCTTGTAGGGGAAGGAGGGAGGAAGCAGGGAGTCAGGGGAGGGTGTGATGAAGGAAGCTGAGATTTGGGTGATGCAGGTCATGACCCAAGGGATTTAGGTAGCCTGTAGGAGCTGGAAAGGGCCAGGAAACAGATTCTCCCCAGAACTTCCAGAGGAAATGTAGTCCTGCCAACCAATTTTAGACTTTTGATCTCAGAACTATAAGAAAATAAACTTGTGCTATTTTAATCCACTAAGTTTATAGTAATTTGTTATAGCAGCAATAGGAAACTAATACATCATTGTAAGCCTATGTATTTGATTAAAATTTTTTTCCCAAATGATTTATGTATTTAAGAAAACATTATGCTAAGAAAATTCATAGGCTTCACCAAGTGCCAAAAAGGGCCATGGCACATATGAAATCTGGCTCAGGCTATTGTCAGGATCTTGCCAGTGGCAGTGGGCACAACTGACAACTTCTGGGAAGGATATTCCTGGGTCACAGGATCGGAGCTGGAGTGTGGGAGTGGGGAGCCTCAGAAGAGCGCCCTGGGAAGATACCCACATTGGAGCTCAGAGTCCTCCTGTCTAGTCCTGCCTGCCTGGCCCAGCATGGCCTCAGAGGAGCTCAGTAGCCCTGGGGAGTCCAGTGGCTGTCCTGATAGATTTGCTGGAGTTGTAAATGGGAGCCTCAGTATTCTAGAATGGGGGGTGTCTTGGTGTATATGGAGGATGGGGTTCTGAGTAATGAGTTCTTCTAGTCAAGCAGATCCCCTCTATTTTATGTTCTGGTTTTGGCAACAAATCTATTTAAAACGTAATGTCTTAAAGCAATAAGGACTTCTTATTCTGAGGCTGGCTGGAAAGTTCTGGCTTTGCCTGGGCTCCCCCATGAGGTTGCAGGTAGCGGGCAGGTGGTTGAGGCTGGCTGGCTCTAGAGGATCTCACCCATGTGTCGGGGCCTCTGTAAGGAAGGTTGGGATGTTTAGAGTAGTGACCCAGTTTCTTTTCTTTTTTTTTTTTAATTGGTTGTTCAAAACATTACAAAGCTCTTGACGTATCATATTTCATACATTAGATTCAAGTGGGTTATGAACTCCCAATTTTACCCCAAATACAGATTGCAGAATCACATCGGTTACACATCCACATTTTTACATAATGCCCTATTAGTAACTGTTGTATTCTGCTACCTTTCCTATTCTCTACTATCCCCCCTCCCCTCCCCTCCCATCTTCTCTCTCTACCCCATCTACTGTAATTCATTTCTCTCCTTGTTTATTTTCCCATTCCCCTCACAACCTCTTATGCGTAATTTTGTATAACAATGAGGGTCTCCCTCCATTACCATGCAATTTCCCTTTTCTCTCCCTTTCCCTCCCACCTCATGTCTCTGTTTAATGTTAATCTTTTCTTCCTGCTCTTCCTCCCTGCTCTGTTCTTAGTTGCTCTCATTATATCAAAGAAGACATTTGGTATTTGTTTTTTAGGGATTGGCTAGCTTCACTAAGCATAATCTGCTCTAGTGTCATCCATTTCCCTGCAAATTCCATGATTTTGTCATTTTTTAGTGCTGTGTAATACTCCATGGTGTATAAATGCCACACTTTTTTTATCCATTCATCTATTGAAGGGCATCTGGGTTGGTTCCACAGTCTAGCAATTGTGAATTGTGCTGTGACCCAGTTTCTCCAGGTGGTCACTGATCCTCACCTTGCCCAGCCTGGACTTCCTGTATGGCTGCCTTGGGGCAGAAAAATAGCAAGAGCAGAAGAGGCAAGGTCTCTTGAGACCAAGGCTGAAAAGCCACATGACATCACTTCTACCATTGTCTGTGGGCCAGAGCACATCAGGACCAGCCTAGGTCCAAGGGAAGGAAAATACTGACTTGGATTCTTGATCTCTTGATGAGAAGGGTAGCACAATTCTACATTTTAAAGTAGTTTAGGATATATTAACATTTCACCTGCTTTTTATTAACATCCTATAATGCATTTAGTCATCTTACCTGTTTAGTGTCTTCCAATTTTGTGGCAACTTCTCAGCTTTTTTTTGCTTTCCATGACCTTGGCATATTTGTAGCAGTCAAGTGTTTTGTAGAATGCCTTTCAATTTGGGTTTATCTGATGTTTTCCTCATCATCAGTCTTCACTTATAAATTTGAGCTGAAGGCCACAGAGCAATGCCCTTCTCATCTTGTCTTACTAGGGGCTTTGTGATACCAACATTACTTATCACTAGGGATGTTGACCTTGATCCTCTGGTGAAGGTGGCATCTGGTAGGTTTCTCTACTGTAAAGTCAGCATTTTTCCCTTTTCATGCTCTATTGTTAGGATCTTTTTTGTGGTTTTAATTTGCATTCCAATAATGACTAATAATGTCAGGTAATTTTTCAAATGTAAATTTGCTATCTCCTTTCAAAATAATAAAAACACCAAGGTGGTGTTCTTATTATTTTGAAAGGACTGATCCAGTTTCTTATCCTTTATATGCCTTTTTTTTTTTTTTTTTTTTAGTGCTGGAGATTAAGCCCAAGGCCTCCCTCAAGCTAAGCAAATGCTCTAACACTAACCTATGCCCCTAGCCCATTCCACCCACTTTATTTTTTGGTACCAAGGAACCCAGGGACACTTGAACCCAGGGACACTTAACCTATAAGCCACATCTCCAGCCCTTTTTATTTTTCATTTTAAGACAGGGTCTCTCTGAGTTGCTTAGGACCTTGCCAAGTTGCTGAGGCTGGCTTTGAACTCTAGATCCTCCTGCCTCAGCCTCCTGAGTCACTGGGATTACAAGTGTGTACCACTATGTCGGCCTTGTTTTTAAATTTGATTTTGAAGCAAAGTCTCCCTAAATTGCCCAGGCTGGCCTCGAATCTGAGATCCTCTTGCTGTAGCTGCCTACATAGATGGATTACAGGTGTGTGCCACAGGTATTTGCGTGCATGTGAGAGAGAAATGAGATTTCTGTATTGCTCAGGCTGGTGTTGAACTCCTGGGCTCCAACAGTCCTCCCACCTTGTAAGTGTGGGGACTCAGCACTCAGGCACTTCCACAGCCAAATTATTTTTAATTGGATTGTTTAATTCCTCACTGGTGAATTTTTAGAGTTCTTTATGTGTTTTGGATACATTTCAAAGTAAATTCAACGCACTTCCCTCTAAATACTTCAGCAAGCATATCATTGGAATTCAGTTTCTTTATATACAGTGAAATACACAAATAAAAAAGTATACTCACTGAGTTTTGACGCCATCAAGATGTAGACGATTGTTCTGTTGATTTTTATGACCCATTGATGGACTGCAATCTACTATTTGATAAGCAATGTTCCAAATAATCTGGCTTTGGTACAGGCAGGGGTAGGAGCTCTAGGTCATAAGCATAGAATTTGCAATCTCTCTCATTTAAATATTGCTTTTGAACTCAAGAGACCTTCCTGCCTCTTCCCTCCCCCTAACCAGGCCACTTCCTCTAGTTCCTGCACACCAGAGGTCAACTCCTAGTGACCTGAATACAGGGAGCCCTTAGTCACTTGCTTCTTCATTTGTAACTCTATGAAGGGAGACAAAGGCCTAGATCATTCTCAACTATTCTGTGGGGGATGTTTTGGGAACGGTGAGTGCTGTATGACCTCACCTTACATTTAAAAATCATTTTTCAGTTATAAAATACTTTTCCTGTAGGCAATGCCAAGTAGTCCTCTAACCCGATCATCCTAATTGACTTGTGCACAAATGGAGGCTCAGAGAGATAGAAGCAACGGGCCCAAGACCACAGAGCTGATGGGTGTGATGCTGGAGTTTGACCTCTGGCATCCTTATTCCTACCAGCCCAGCTGAGGCTGAGTGGCTGCCCCAGTGGGTCAGCCTGGGGCCATTCCTGATTTACCATGTGGCTTCCATGGGAAAGCTGGGTTCTGGGAGACAGGCAGGCATGCCAAAGGCCTCCCTTTTCAGACTGCAGGGCCCACCCTGGGCTTGTTTCCAGGATGGCCTGACTCTGCTGCACTGCGCAGCCCAAAAAGGCCATGTGCCTGTGCTGGCGTTCATAATGGAGGACCTAGAGGATGTAGCCCTGGACCACGTGGACAAGGTGAGAATGGCAAGGCCACTCCTCCCTCCCATGGGCTGGGGCTCCTGGAGCCACTTGTGCCCTAGAGGCTTACTGCACTCTGGAGTGCATCCTTTGATCTGTGGGTGACTGTGTCCCACCTGGAGTACTGGTCTGGGGGAGACCTCAGGGCACAAATGGGTGGGATAGAAGCAGAACATGAGCAGTTGCCTCAGAAAGGCCCTGGCAAGGACTCGACAGGGCACAGAAGGGAGCCTTGCTGCTGTGTCCTGGAGAGGGTGGCATTGAAGGAGTTGGATTTGGGTTAAGATTGGAAGGCATGGGGAGCCCCAGAGTTCAGATGGACTGGAATTTTGGGAAGGAAGGTGGGTTGGGGTGAGATGGGAGGGATGGGGAACCCCTTGTGGAGATATCCACCCCAGTCTTAGGAATCTGTTCTTCATTTAGTAGGCAGCAGGGAGCCACCAAAGGATTGCAGTGGGAGACCCTCCCCCCAAGTGGCCCTTGTTGGGAAGTGAGGTCCAGGCTTTTCCATGTAGGATGTGTGGGGCAAGGGGCAGTAAGGGGGAGAACATCTGGACAGGAGAGGCCACTGCAAGCCCAGAGAGGTCGGGAAACAAAGGCCAGTGGGCAGAATGGGCATGCCCACTGACAGGGTGAGGAAGGTCACTCTCTCTCTCTTGTCCTGGCCAGCTGGGAAGGACGGCGTTTCACAGGGCTGCTGAGCACGGGCAGCTGGATGCTCTGGACTTCCTCGTGGGCTCTGGCTGTGACCACAGTGTCAAAGACAAGGTACTGTGACTGTGAAGTCTGGGCTTTGACCAGGATGCAAAACCTCCTGCTACCTTCCTGACTCTGGCACCTCACCTATGTCGTCATTGTTCTCCTCCTCCTCCTCCTCCTCCTCCTCCTCCTCCTCCTCCTCCTCTTCCTCTTCTTCTGGTACTGGGGATTGAACAGGGATACTCAACCACTGAGCCTCATCCCCAGCCCTATTTTGTATTTCATACAGAGACAGGGTCTCACTGAGTTGCTTAACATCTCACATTTGCTGAGGCTATCTTTGAACTCGCCGTCCTCCTGCCTTAGCCTCCTGAGCCACTGGGATTACAGGCGTGTGCCACCGTGCCCCGCTTCCTGTGCCTACTTCTGACTCCAGCTGTGCTGGGGGGCAGTATCCAGAGACAGATCAGAGTGTGTCTGATGTTCACCCAGCAGGCACTTCAGTGCACATACTGTGGGTCCACCCTGTGCTATGGGCTGGGCCACAAATATGGCCAACATGCAGTTTCTTATTGGAGGAAATCCATACCATAGTCCTAGGAAGGGGCTGTTATTCTGTCAGGGAATCAGAACAGCAAATCTGATTGGTTGGTGGTGCTGTCTGGAGGGTGTTGAGCAGGATTGTTATTCCAGGGTGTCTACTGTTGGGATGTGGGGAGGAGATGGGGGGTGGTAGCCATGCATCTGCATTTATGCTCTGCCATGGTTGTGGCAACATAGAATGGGAGCAGTTCACTCAGGGTGCAGAGCTTACCAGCAGGATTTCACCAAGCTGAGAAGGGGAGACTACCCTGAAAATGACTCATATCGGTGGACCATAGTGAGTCATTGGGCAAAATTCTAAACGATGCTTTCAACAAAGGGAGGAGCTCCATTATTAATCTTCTGATTAATAATACATGGGTACTCTGATTGGTGTGCTTGGCCAGGATTTAAGGGAGTTCTGTTTGTAAGTAGCGACAGAGAGCTCACAGACAAACACACCACAGGATCTTGGCATTGGAAAGGGTCTTCATTAAGGGTCAGTGCAGCTTTCTTGCTTTTACAGCTGTGGCACCTGAGGCCCAGAGGGGGAGATGCCTTAGCCAAGGTCCCACAGCAAGATAAAGGTAGTGTGGGCTTTGAAAACAGCATCTTGATATACCCTATGTTCCTCTCACTCACCAGGCTGCCTCCTAAGGCATCAAACCCTTGGAGTCTGCCCTGGACCTGTCCACGTTTAGTTTTTGAGGATAAGAGACTCAGATTACACTGGTTTCCTTTATTCTGAAAAGACAGGCTGAGCAGGTCCTGCTCTGTGGCAGGAACTGGGAACACAGAGGGATAAAGGAAAGGACAGCCCCCTGCAGGACAGGCTCACCTTGGAGGCAAAACCTCAGGGCCCCAGGAAAACAGAAGCATCAAACTCAGAGGAGAAAAATCTACTGAGGGCTGGGGTTGTAGCTCAGTGGTAGAGAGCTTGCCTAGCATGTGTGAGGCACTGGATCCTCAGCACCACATAAAAATAAATTTAAAGATATTATGTCCATCTACAAATTAAAAATTAAAAAAAAAAAATCTAGCTATGGCGAATGCATCCAGAATCAGAAATTCTAGAAAGCAGCTTCTAGAATTGCATACCCCTGTTAAGTTTCGGTTTTTCAGATTAGAAGTGTTTTTATTTTAAATCTTATTTGGGGAGGGATGCTTTTCAAAGTTTAGGACCCTGTGGTCTGCTGAGGAGAATGGATCTCAGAGTCAAGGATAGCACAGATCATCCACACCTGCTGAAGTGAGGGCCCAGAGGTGCTGCAGGCCACTTGGAGTGGCCAGATGTTGCTGATGAGGCCACACAGAGGCAAAGAGGCTGGGCATCCCCCAGGTGGGGGAAGAGGGCATCGGGCCCAAGGCTAAGGCCACCTTCTGCCCAGCTCCTGCCCCAGTCCCCTGCCCTGCCCCAGGAAAGTGGAAAAACTCCCTGTGAGGCAGTCTCTGAATGTACTTGTAGCTTTGGAGAGCAGAACCTGGGTGTTTATAATCCAGAAGGAAGAAGAAAGCCCCACAATCATCTCTGCACCCTGCTAATTGGGGGTATATGTGGGCCCCTCGTGGTTTACCTGCTTCCTATGTGTCTCTGAACACAGGCTTGGATACCTGGGGCAACTGGCTTTAGGTGGGTATGGGTGAAGTAGGGTTGATTTTAATTAATTAATTAATTATATCATACTGGGGATTGAGCCCAGGGGTGCTCTACTACTGAGCTATATCCCTAACCTTTTAAATTTTTATTTATTTTATTTTTGGTATCAGGAATTGAACCCAGGGATGCTACTAAACCAAATCCCCAACCCTTTTTTTTTTTAATGTTTTATTTTGAGACAGGGTCTCACCAACTTGTTTTGGGCCTTGCTAAGTTGCTGAGGCTGACTTTGAACTTGCAATCCTCCTTCCTTAAGCTCCCAAGTAGCTGGAATTATAGGTGTGCACCACTATGCTCAACTTATTTTGAAAGCAGTGTGTCTGCCTTGAAGTGTAAGGATTTGCCCTTGAAGGTGCCCTGGTTGTAGTTTTTGACACATTTCTTGGGAACAGTGTGGCATTGGTCCAGAGTATAGGCTGTACTTTGTCACATACTTGTCCTGTGATCCTGGACATGTCAATTCTGGGCCTTAGCTAACATGTCTGTAAAATGAGGGGCAGTGCTGCTGGGATCCTGTGAGTCTCTGTGTGCCTCCAGGGCTCCATGTCTGCTGGACTCTCCGGTGCTCTTCTCCCTACAGGAGGGGAACACAGCCCTTCACCTGGCTGCTAGCCAGGGCCACGTGGCTGTGTTGCAGCGCCTTGTGGACATCGGGCTGGACCTGGAGGAGCAGAATGTGGTGAGTCACCACCTGGGGGATGCAGAGATGTGGGATACTCACTGGCTTCCTACCTTTGAGGAACCCCAGCCTGTAGAGCAGGCTATTTCCTCCTGGTTGAGGCCCTGAAGCCTGGAAACTGAGCGTAGGTTCTCAGAAAAACGCCAATTATGAAAAGATAAACCGCATCCAGAATCCAGGCTGGGTGGAAGCAAGGCATGATGGGCTACCATGACTTCCTTGTGTGTTCCACAGGGGGGACGTTGGCTAGGATGGTCAGGGAGGACTTCCTGGCTTGAGTGGGAGGAAATAGACGAAGCTGGGGCTGCGATGGCTTGAAGGGTGAGAGAACCTGAAGAGAGATGTGGAGCAGAGAACTGAGGTGCCCCGTCCATGCTTCACACAGTGAGAATATCAGATGCAGGCTCAGATGCCACAAATGACCAAGACCCTCGTCCTCAGTAGTGGGTGGTGGAGCACCCACGGGGCCTAGGAGCCATGGCACAGGGTTGTCACCTTGGGGTCTGGCCTCAGCCTCCCCACCATCCTCACCCACCTTGTGTGTTTCAGGAAGGTCTGACGGCTCTGCATGCGGCTGCTGAAGGAGTGCACCCCGACTGTGTGCAGCTGCTCCTCAGGGCCGGGAGCAACGTGAACGCCCTCACCCAGGTAGTCAGGTCTCCTGATGTCTGCCCTCAGCCCCCGCAGGTTGTGACATGCAGATGGATCCCAGAGTGCTGTGTCAACCCCGCGTTGGGAGGACCTGTGACACTGCACTGATGCCTCCTTCCCTCTAGAAAAGGCTGAGCTGCCTCCACTACGCAGCTCTTGGTGGCTCTGAGGACATGTGCCGGGCTCTTATTCACGCAGGAGGCTGCACCAATGTGGCTGATCATGTAAGTGTGGGGGCCTCAACTGAAGGAGTCCCCATTGCAAAGTCTCCCATGACCACACTGATGAAGCACAGCAGGGAGAAAGGGGCACTTCAGCCATTGAGGGTGGTCGGTGCTGGGACCAGGGGAGCTGGCAGCACTTAGGAAAGTCAAATAATGTTCTATCTGGAACGGGACTGAAATCAAGCTTGCACTTTGTCCCAGCTGAATTGTCTGCTCCTCTTTTCTGCTCATTTATGCACTGAGTCTTTCTTTCCCCTGGTCTTAGGGGTGGAACTCAGGGGTGCTCTAACACTGAGCTGCATCCCCACCACTTTTTATTTTTAATTTTCAAACCCACTTCCGAAATAACAGCATTTTCTTTCTTTTTTCTTTTGGTACCAGGGATTGAATTCAGGGTGCTTAACCACTGAGCTACATCCCCAGTTCTTTTTAAATATTTTATTTAGAGACAGCGTCTCGCTGAATTGCATAGGGCCTTGCTAAGTTGCTGAGGCTGGCTTTGAACTTGGAACCCTCCTGCCTCAATCTCCCCAGTTGCTGGGATCACAGGCATGTGCTACTGCACCTGACCCAAGATAATAGCATTTTCCATTCAGGAGGGCAGAGCCTTCATGTCCTAATCACCTCTTGAAGGTCCCACCTCCCAACACTGTTGCACTGGGGATTAAGTTTCCAACACGTGGACTCTGGGGGCCACATTCAAACCACAGCATGTAAGGAATACAATTCAGCAATGCAAAGGAAGAAACTATTGACATGTGCAACAACTTGGATAGATCTCAAGGGAATTATGTTGGGTGAAAAAAGCCAGTCTCAAAGTTTATGTCTGTCTGATTCTACTTTTACAACTTTGTTTCTTTCTTTCTTTTTTTTTTTTGGTGTATGCGCTACTGGTGATTGAACCCTGGGACATTCTACCACTGAGCTACATCCCCAGTCTTTCTTTCTTCTTTTCTTTTCTTTCTTTTTCATGAAGTTGCTAGGGTCTCACTAAGTTGCTGAAGCTGGCCTTGAACTTCTGATCCTCCTGCCTTGGCCTCCTGATTTGCTGGGGCTACAGGTGTATATCACCATGCCCAGCCCACGTATTTAACATTCTTGAAATGAAAACAATAGAAATAAACAGATTTTGTTGCTGGGGGTTAGGGATAGGGGTGAGGTAGAGGAGGGAGAAGGGTCATACAAGGACAACATAAGGGCTCCTTGTGATGAACTGTTCTGTGTCTTGACTGTGTGGCAGATATAGAAACCTACACAGGTGATAAAATTGCATGGAAGTAAACACACAAAAAACGCAGGTGAAACTGGAGCAGTCTAAATATCAGTGGATTTTCTGATCTTGTCAATACCCTCCTTGGGATATTAACAGTAGCATTGGGGAAACTGACTACAGCACACACCAGATATCTCTGTATTGTTTTCTAATTACATATGAATCTACTTTCAAACTTTAAATTTGAATTAGAAAAGGTTTTGCTTGTATATATACTTAAAAAATCTCTGGAATTAGTCAGATAAAAGCAGTAATTAGAGCTGGGCATGGGGGTACATGCCTGTAACCCCAGCCACTTGGAAGGCTGAGGAAGAAGGACCGTGAGATCAAAGCCAGCTTCAGCAACTTAGCAAGGCCCTGTCTCAAAATAAAAAATAAAGAGGGCTGGGGATGAGGCTCAGAGGTTAAGCACCCCTGGGTTCAATCCCCAGTAGTGCCCCCTGCTTGAGAAAAGCAGTAACTGATTATCAGTGGGGTTGGTGGGTAGGGAGGATGGGGCAGAAGGGTGATGGGTTGGGAAGACCTTTTGTCCTTTTTGGTACTTTTGGATTTTATTGACAAAATGTAAAATAGTGAAAAAGCTGAACATATTTTCGTACCATTCTCCTTCCCCACCACATGGCTCAGACCTGTTTCCTGGAAGACCAAGGCATATCCAGCATATTTTGTTTTGGTATCTCTAGCCTGCCACCTCCCGGGAAGCCACCATGATGGCTCCTGCCTTTGGGCCACTGTCCGGTCTGGGCTCATCCCCTCTCACAGGCCTTCTTTTGGCCTGATTTTGATACCACATTCATCTGGCAAATGATTTCAGGAGACGGTTGAAGTTTCAGAGTAATTTTACCTGGATTTTAAAACTTTCTTTTCATGGCACTTGACATTCGGGGTTTGGGATTACATTAAACCTGGAAATAATGACACAGTGGTCATCTTTATAATATTTAACTTTTTCACTTGGAACATGATGTCTTACTATTTCTTTATGTCCTTCACATCCTTCAGTGATTTTATGTAACTTCTGGTTTACATGAGTCTTAATCATTTCCAGTTATACCCTTCATAGACATTTCATATTGTTTGCCCATCATTGTGAACAGGGTAGCTTTTTAAATTTGTGTCATTTCTTGTGGGCTTTAATATAGAAATGCTATTCACTTGGATATTCTTCTCTTCTATATTATTATTATTTTGGGGGGTACTTGGGATGGAACCCAGGGGTGTTTAACCACTGAGCCATGTCCTCAGTCCTTTAGAGAGAGGGCCTCACTGAGTTGCTTAGAGCCTCATTAAGTTGCTGAGGCTGGCTTTGAACTTGCAATCCTCCTGCCTCAGTCTCCCAAGCCGCTGGGATTACAGGTATGTGCCACTGCTCCTGGCTTCTAGATGACTTTTTAAAATTAATTCTACTAGGGCAGAGTAGGGGCAACTATCTTAACCTGTCTAGATAGATAATCACCTTGTTTATTACAAATGATAGTATTGTGAAAATCTTGTTTTCTAATACTGAAAAAAACCTTCCCCTGACCTTGGCCTAAACTGGTAATGACAATAGTGGGCATTCTGTGAAATATATATATTTATATGTTCTATAACCCTTTTATACTGAACAGGTGAACATAAATTTCCACAATAAGTATAGATCTATACCATCATCTTCACTGGCTTCAAGCTCTTCCACAATATGTGTGTTACTCCATTGCCTAGAGAGGGGGATGCTGGGGAAGTGTCTCCATTGTGTTATTTAGTCAGGGGACTAAAGGGGACCCCTGGGGATGATATTCCCCAGCCTCAAAAGAGGTCTTGGATGAGCACTGGGCTTGGAATTAAGTCTCTTTTTTTGTTCCTGTCTGATTCTTTTATTCATTCATTTCATACATAAACAGTTATCAGGCACTTGCCTACATGCTGGCCCGTGCTGTGTGTTCTTGGGAAAGCTGCTTAAGTTTTCTGAAGCTCAGTGTTTCCATTTGAAGGTGAAGAACTATTAAGAATGTGTGCTTCTGAGACATGTGGATTAATAGAGAATCTTAAGGTGGTGTTGCCAGAAGAGGCCTTAGCAAAGATCACTTACCAGATGAAGATAGCAGAGGACAGGAAATGGCTTGTCCAGTGTCACCCAGTGAGCACACCTCCAAGATGGCATAGTAGTCTCAATCTTGGATGTGCAGACCCTCACTCACTTTGAGGACCAGTATTACAGATGGCTTCAGGAATTCAGGTGGTCTGTGACTGCCTCAGACCACCAATGTAGTTTAAGATGCCAAAAGGGCCAAACCCAGAAGCACTCTACCCCTCCCTGCTCCTGACTCCCAGCCCCAACCTGCTACCGGGCAGGTCCTGGGAGGGACACGTCCATTGATCCGTGGGTCTCCTCCCACAGCAGGGTACTTCTCCTGTGCACCTGGCTGTGAGGCACAACTTCCCTGCCCTGGTCCAGCTCCTCATCGAGGCCTGCAGTAACCTGGATGCCATCGACAATGTAAGTGTCTACAGAAACCATCCAGGCCCAGGGAGCCTCTGGGTGCTCTCTAAGGCTGGCAGGGCTGGGCCATGACTCCCAGAGTGGTCCGGAGTAAAGAAATTTGCTTTTTAGCTTTTATTTCTATTTTATTTTATTTTCCCATAACTTTTATTGGTACATTATAATTATATGTAATGATAACCTTAGTTGTTACTCTTTTTAGCTTTTAAAAATGTTGTTTGATGCTGAGTTGTGGTGGCACACGCCTGTAATCTCAGCAATCTGGGAGTCTCAGGCAGAAGGATCACAAGTTTGAGGCCAGCCTCAACAACTTAGAGAGGCCCTAAACAACTTAGCAAGACCCTGTCTCAAAATAAGAAAATAAAAAGGGAATATATATTGCTCAGTGATAAAGTGCCCCTGGATTAAATTCCCAGTACCATTTTTTTTAAATGTTGTTTGAATATCTGTTAAAAGCATATCATTTTATTAACCATTTCTCTATTTTGAACATTTTGGATGTTTTCCAGTTTTTATTATGAGATAGATTATATATATATATATATATATATATATATATATATATATACACACACACACACATGCATATAATATGTATATGTTATATATGTAGTACATATAATATTATCTATTATATAAGATACATAATATTGTATATAATATTAGGTATTATATATATGTGTGTACACACACACACATACACACAATGCTGCAGTAAACATCTCATATTCAACTTTCATTGATTTCTTTTCCCTAGAGAAAATTCTCAGGGGATGGGTGAAGGGGGCATTCTTATATAACAAGAGTCCTGAGTCCTGAAGTTATGATCTATAAGGAGCCCTTTTAAATCCCTGTCCCCACAACCACCCCCACAATCATATCACAGTCAGTGCCAGCCCACACAACCACTGGAGAATGGGAAGCAGTTTGGCAGACTATGTCATATACCTTTGCAAAGATCTGCATTTGCCCTTTAGGGAATGGAGCCTCAAGAAATATATTAAAAGTTCATGCACAGAGACTTTTATTGTAAGGATAGGGATGTACCTCAGCGTGTGCAAGGAAGGCCTCGGGCTTGATCTCTGCACACACACACACCCCTGCTCCAAAATCAACCTAAAACATTATTCACTATTAATTCTCAATTTTAAAATGACCCAAATATTTAATAATAGAGAAGTGATTAGGTAAATTATGGTACAGGCATAAATAGGCCATTACAGAGTTTAGTAAAAATGGTATTTATCAAAGTTTATAATACATGGCAAGCATTATGGTAGGTGGAGAAATAAGATTGAGAGTGTATGTACAAGATGATCTCAAATATGTAAAAGGACTAGAAATTCACCAGGCTCATTATGGAGTGTTATGTTAATGATTAAACCCAGCTCACCCCCACCCCCTGCCCCACAGCATAACTTTGTTAAGGCCCATTTGGGCGTGTCCCACCCTGGTCCTGCCCTGGCACTGAGCAGCAGGCCACCATACTTGCTTTTCTGCTCATCTGTCCCCTTGGCTTCTCCAGAGGCAGCAGACGCCCCTCCACCTGGCCGCTGAGCACGCCTGGCAGGACATAGCAGAGATGCTCCTCGTGGCTGGGGTCGACTTAACCCTGAGAGATAAGGTACCTCTGCTCAGAGCCGGCCTCCCTCTCGAGCCATCATGGCTCCTTCTTTGCCGGAGACCCTGCTACAAATGTCTCTTTCCTTCAGTCCTCTCCCCTGCTCAAAAGCAGCCTCCTTGAGAAAGCATTCCTGCCCTCCCACTCCCTGCCTTCCCTCCTCTGAGGTCCCTCAACATCCACCTAGGCTTGGGCTATGGCTATGGCTTGGTCCCCACCAGATTGTAAACTCCCTGAATTACATTGAGGGGTTTCGGGGGTAGCAGGAGTACTGTATCACCACCCAGCACCCTCTGCGTATGCACCAGGGTTTGGGGACGCTTCCTGGCACTTTGTGCCTGTGGGTGGCTACCTCCTCCGGTGATTGGAAGTCTGAGGAGCTGAAGGCTTGGGATGAGGCTGGAGATCACAGGTGCATGAGGGGAGGGCACTTGCACACCTCACTCAGCAAGGTCAGCCTGGGTGGTGGGGTCAGAGTTGGGGACCAGGATCAGGCTAGGCCTGGGAAAGGGCTCCCTGCTTTGAGCTGGGCCCCTGGGGAAGCTGACCAGATGTCAAGAGCAATTTCCCATCCCACTGTGGGTCCCTGGAGGTGACTGGGAGGCCTGGGGCACAGGAGCTGGCACCAGCGGGAGGGTGAACAAACATGAACCAATGAGCCCACACTCTCTTCTCGGGGCTCTGGTTTCTTCATCTGAAAAATAGGGCTGGGGAGGCTGGGGTTGTGGCTCAGTGGTAGAGCGCCTGTCTAGCATGCGTGAGGTGCTGGGTTCAATCCCTGACACCACATAAAAAAATAAACAAACAAAATAAAGGTATTGTGTCCATCTACAACTAAAAAAAAAATGGGGTTGGGGATAACATCAGCTCACAGGCTGTTTACAGTCAGTGGCAGAGGCCACACTGCACTGGAAACTCGGGCTTCCCTTCTGCCTCTTGCTTGCAGCAAGGAAAAACCGCCCTGGCAGTGGCCGCCCGCAGCAACCACGTCAACTTGGTGGACATGATCATAAAAGCAGACCGTTTCTACAGGTGGGAGAAGGTATGGGGGTCCCATGCTCCACTGGTAGAGCTGGTTTTGAGTTCGGGTCCTGGCCAGTTCTGGGATCCCTGTCTCCAAGTGGGTGAGAATCCCTGCTTTGCACCCAGGCAAACTGAGACTGAGGTCCACGCCTGTGTTCTTGTGGCTGGACACTGCAGTAGCTCCTGGCGAATGCACATGACCGAATCGCATGGGTGAATAAGGAGATGGCAAGTTGGTTCCATCTCACTGACATCTCCGGGTGATTGAAATTGCAGAATATTTCATTTAGGCAACTTTCTGAACCTAGAGGGAAAGTGTGCTGGAAATGATTGGTGATATCTGCCATAGACTGGGGGAAGCAGAGGAACACAATGTAAAGTCACGTATGGGCTGTTCCAATCAGCAAATAGGAATAGGGAATGGGGAGTTTTTTGGGTGTCCTTGGGGATGTCTTCATACATAGAAAACTTTTGCATTTGCCTTAGTTTTTGAAATTAATGTGAACTTTTTTCAAAGTACTGGAGATTGAACCCAAGGCAAGTGCTTGCTAGATAAGTGCTTTACCACTGAGCACACTCTCCGTCCTTTTTATTTTATTTTGAGACAGAGTCTCACTAAGTTGTCCAAGCGGGCCTTGAGTTTGTGATTCTCCTGCCTCAGCCTCCCAGGCCACTGGGATGGCAGGCATGTGCCACCATGCCTGGCCCTAAGAAACAATTCTTTTTTAGTTGTTGATGTATGTTATTTTATTTATTTATATGTGGTGCTGAGACTCAAACCCAGAGCCTCACACATGCTAGACAAGTGCTCTACCACTAAGCTACAACCCCAGCCCCTAAGAAACAATTTTTAACACCCTGGTGAGAACCAGGCTCCTGGATCATCACCTCCCAGGTGACTGGCCACAGATGGTTGACCAGGATGCAAGATCTGGAGCTGCAAATGCCAGGTAATTTTTTTCACCTCGAATTTTGAAACAACCAGAACGCAACATCCATTACCTTTAGGGAGGCCTTGGGTTTTGTGGGTTTAATTCATGCTATTTCTGAATTCTTTTGTAACCCCTAATGTTATTACCCACTTTGCCTAGGAAGGACCCTGTAACCCCAGCCTTCACTATTTGCTGGGATTTGGTAAGCCTGCCTGGTTTTGGCCATAGCTTCTGAGTCATTCTGTTGACAAACATGCTGTAAGAACCCCAAAAGGGACTGGGGCTGTGGCTCAGTGGTAGAAGGCTTGTTTAGCATGCATAGGGCCCAAAACACAAACAAATCGAAAACCAAATCAAACAAAAAGCACTGAGAGAGAAAGGCTTCTGACCAGAGCAATTTGGGAAGGCCTCCTGGAGGAGGTGGCACAGGAGTGCTCTTTTGACTATGGCAGTGGGGTTGACAGTCAGGGAGGAGAGAAACCGAATTCTGGGTGGAAAGAGTGTGCGAGCACCTTGGGTTCCAAGGCATGGCATGGAGTCATGGTTCCAGTGGACATTGAGCCTCAGGCCCCACTGACTCCAGTTCCAGGCTCCTCAGCAGAGGTGGTCGTAGGGTAATTGGGGCTTCAGCCCTGTATTACTCCTATTCAAGACCACGAGAGGGAGCTTGGCACGGAAACCCCCTCCCCCATGGCTTCTTCACTTTTGGGATCTTCCCACAGGACCACCTTTCATGCAGGGATCCCAGTGACTCCTCGGGGGAGAGCTTGTCCTTTAAGCAGGACCATCGGCAAGAAACACAGCAGTTCCGCTCTGTGCTGTGGCGACTGGCCTCCAGGTATCTGCGGCCCCAGGAGTGGAAGAAGCTGGCATGTTCCTGGGAGTTCACCGAGGCACACATCTATGCCATCGAGCAACAGTGGACAGGTACCAGCCTTCTCCCCGCCAGCAACCAGGCACAGAGGGGCGAGGGGCACTTGAGTTGTTCTGTGCTTCTGAGGAAAAAGGCTGTGCAACCCACATGCCCCTTCCCACCTCTGGCCCCTTGCACAGGGTGTATGCCCTCCTCTCCTAGTGACCTGAGGACTTCACAGTCTTCAGAATCAACCAAAGCTGAGAGTCCAAACGTAAACTCTATTACAAATAGGAATTCTCATGTATGATAAAGGAGATTTGTAAATTGTGGGAGTCAGGGCAAATACTATTTAATTGTGTTGAGGTAACTGGGTTGACCAGTTGAGTTTTCCCACCAGTCACATCAAGGGCAAGCACCATGAGGAAGTGTCTGCTGAGGACCCAGAGAAGAACACAAAAAGTCACAGGATACAGCGAACCAACTAATCTGGATCTGATGATGTGGCCAAGCATCTGTCTGCATCCCAGGCAGGAAAATCTGACTTAGTCATGAGGGTTTAAAACACGTTAACCCCCAACACTGGACACAGGATAGTGTGGACAGTTACTTCCCAAACCTGGTTGTATGCTGGGATCACCTGAGAAGCTTTGAAACTGCTCAAGGCTAAGCCATACCCAGACTCGGGCACATCTGCATTGGGGTGAGGTGAACCCATGGTGCCAATATTTTCCCATGCTTCCCGGATCTTTCCAAGGAGCAGGTAAGGCTGAGAACATCTAGTGTAGGGAAAAGAACATGGCCAGCTCTGCCTCTCAGTAAGCCCTCTTCTCACTGGAAAACAAGGCCACTAGCATGCAAGGCACAGATTGTGACCAGTCAAAGAGATGAGGCACATAATTGTGTGCATCCTGCTACCGTAGGGACATATGCCATTTCTTTCTTCAGAGTGACACTGACAGGTTGTGTAGCGGATGCTCAGGAGAAAGCCTGGGACTAGGGATGTTCTAGGTCCCTGAGATACAAACTCTGACACCACCCCATCTGAGATGCGGCTCCTCCCCACCCCCAGCCACCTCTGGGCTGAGCCTGCTAGAGAGGCCTGAGGTGGTCCTTGGCCTCTTTTGTAGCTGGGCATGCTCAGGAGGCTACAGAAGGCCACATAGACATGGATGGCTCCTCTCTCTTCCCTTGTCATCCTCAGGCACCAGGAGCTATCAGGAGCATGGCCACAGGATGCTGCTCATCTGGCTGCATGGCGTGGTCATGGCTGGTGAGAATCCCAGTAAAGCGCTGTTCGAGGGCCTGGTGGCCATTGGCAGGAGAGACCTGGCTGGTAAGAGTTGGACTCACAAGCTGTGTCCCCTAGCTGGAATGTGGCCCAGCCCCAAGGGGCTGCTCAGACCAGAAAGCTGTGATGCTAACTGAATCTTCCAGATTCCTAGTCCTAGCCCTCCTTCCTCCTCAAACCCAGGAGGAGCCTTGGGCAAATCACAGTGCCCCCTGGCCCTGGTTTCTCCATCCCTGTAGTGAGAGTGGGCGGCCTAAACGAACCCTCTGATTTTCACAGCCCCCTATAATCTCTCCCTTGCCAACCCTCCATGCCTTGAATTTCGCCCCTAGTTTGGAATAAGTCTAGAACAGCCTTCAGACTTCTTTTTCACAAAATAAGACTTGAGAACCCAACTGGCTTAATATGAGTTGAACCAGTCAGATCTGGAAAATAAAACTTCTGAGGTCATCACAATCTACTTAATCATGCCAATCCCAAAATCCTGATTTGGGACTCAGAGAGTCCCGTGGGACCTTCAGGCCAGGAGGATAAAAGGTCTGGCACTAATTCCTCATTAAAAAACAAAATCAGCTCACGACAACAAAGTTTTAAACTTGTAATGTCCCTAGGGTGCTGGCTGTCCCGTGGCTGCCATAGGCAAGGTGGGAAAGCAGAGAATTATTTGGGGGTGGAGGAATTAGGGATGGCTTTTATCTTTTTCCAAAATATTCTCATATAAAGTTGTTGTACCTTTTCTTAGCACCAAGTCCCGCAGGAAATTAAAACATAAAACCTGCCCTGGAGGGTAGAACTGAAGCCATAAGATTCTTGTGTTTTGCAGAGAGTATTAGGAAGAAAGCAAATGCTGAGCCGAAGGCCCCCAGGAGGTGCACAGCCATGTAATCAGGGGCCACCTGAACAGAAGATGACCAACCCTTAAGTGCTTTTCAAATGACCACTGTTAACAGACCCACAACTGTTTCTACTGAAGTGCGTAGTGAAGCAGACACCAGCAGCCAAATGCTTATAATCCTTTTGGGGAGGACTGGTCCAGAGGCCTGTTCTAGGTTTTGCAATGATCCCCTCCCAGGTCCTTACTCTTTGCTCATTTTCACCTCCATTTTCTTGGACACTCACAGTCTCTTTCCTGCTATTCAAGGGACGTCTTTACAGATAGAACACTGAGGCCCAGGGAGGAGTAGCTACTTGCCCAGGGGTCTGTTGTCAAACCCAGCAGGCCTCCCACCCAACCCGGGGAAAGGGCTCCATTTGTCTCTTTCAAAATGAACTCTTCTTAATTTGTTCACTGTTAGTGTGTGCTTGCGTTTTGTTGTACTGAGATAGAACCCAGGAGCTCTCTACCACTGAGCTACATCCCCAACAGCTTTTTTTTTTTTTTTTTTTTGAGACAAGGTGTCACTAAGTTGCTGAGGCTGACCTCAAAGTTGTGATCCTCCTGCTTTAGCCTCAGCAGCTAGGATTACAGGTGTGTGTTTGTCCACGCCTGGTTTGTTCACTGGTTTTTAAGAATGGCACACTTGTCCTACCTGTAGTTACAAATTTATTTGTATATTTGGACAGGAGGGGTGCTGTTGGGAGTGGCGTTATTAATAATTATTCGGAGGTGGATTGTCTTTAAATGCAAGCGTATATTCAATCCCACCAATCATCAAACACAAACAATTAATGCAAAAAGTGTTGGTTGTGCTGGAGCACCCTAACTGCATCTAATGTACACTAATTAAACACTACAAGCACATCACACAATACTAAGGCAACCTCCAGCCCCAAAGTACCTCTGATGCCACACAACTTCTCTTAACAAGAGCAGATGTTGTTATTGTCCAGTGGTTCTCTCCAGCTGATGGTTGGACATCAGGGAATGGTGGATTCGATCTGGGGATGGATGGACAGCAAGGTGGCCAGTCTCACTGGTTTCTCAGAGCAAAGCTCTCTGATGTGGCAGGACAAGCGGTTTATGTGCAGTTCCAAGTTGGTGCTCATTGTTATCACGCTCCAGTGTTGTTCTGCCTGTCTCTAGATGATGGTCCTAATCAACTGTGTCCAGTTGTGACTAAGCATGCCTGTGGCTGCTGTTCTTTACAGCTAGCAACTTAGTGAGTCCCAGCCTGGCCTGGCATGTCTATGGGAGAGGCTCCTTACAAGTGCATGCTCATTTTCCCCTCTTATTGTATAATTTTTTAAAGTATTTTTAAAATATGTTTTAGTTGTAGTTGGACACAATACCTTTATTTATTTATTTATTTATTTTTATGTGGTGCTGAGAATCGAACCCAGCGCCTCGCATGTGCTAGGCGAATGCTCTATGCTGAGCCACAACCCCAGCCCTTATTTTATAATTTTTATGTTTTAAAACTTTTTAAATTTTGAAATCATTTCAGACTTACAAAAAAGTTGCAGAAATAGCATGAAGAATTTCCAAATACCCTTCAAGCAGCTTTCCCAAATATTAATGTCTTACGTAACTACAGTATACTCTTTTAAACCAGGAAATTAACACTGTGCAATGCTATTTGCTAATATCAGACCTGATCCAAATTTTGCTGGTTGAGCATTCATGTCTTTTCTCTGGACCAGGATCCAGTCCAGGATCACTGATGGCATTTAGTTGTCATTCTTCTGTACTTTTTTTTTTTTTTTTTATGGTGCTGGGGGTTGAATCTAGGGTTTTGCATATGCCGAGCACATGCTCTACCACTGAGCTAAACGCCAACCCTCTTTTCATTTTTAATAGCCACATACAAAGGGTCACTGTTTTGGAGCAGTATAATCCAGTAGAATGTTCTACAAAAATGTTTTCTATCTGCCCTGTCCAAGATGGTATCCACTAGTGACCTGTGGCTATTGAGCACTTTAAATGTGGTTAGTGAGTCTGAGGAAATGGATTTTAAATATTATCCTATTTTAATTGTTTGAAAAAAATACATGTATACACATTTGGTGGTGCTGGGGATTGAGCCCAGTCCTTGGGCATGCTAGGCAAGTGCTCTACCACTGAGCTACACCCCCCACCTCAGTCGTTTGAGATGTAAATAGACAAGTGACAACCACACTGGACCACAGAGCCAATCTGAGCTTCGCTTTCAGGTGCCAGGCAAGCACAGGTTGTGGGGCTCGGTCACCCCAGCAGGAGAGTAGGTTTCCAGGAAAATGTGACTCTTTGGAAGCTTTTTGATTTCCTACAATTCAGAAACCATCTGTGCAGAATAACCTAGAAGTTCTGCCAGAAAGCCATTGGTATCTAGTGTGGGCTCTCTTGTGTGGCACAGCTGTGGCCATTCTAGGAGCCCACGTCTCAGAAAAGCTCCCCACAAAGTTCTACCCTGGGCCGGGACTGACAGGAGACAGAATCAGAACTGTTAAAGCTGAAAGGGGCTTCAGTTGTCACTTGTGGCTGGTGGCATACACAGTGGTCCAGTCCTCTAAGAGGCAATCTGGCTTTGTCTATCCAAACCACAGACATCTCTCCCCCTTGGTCCAGCAATCCCACTTCTAGGGACATGTCCTATGATAAGTCAATATATGTACCTAATAACAGACATATGAGGTTTTTTATCACTACATTGTTTCCAATCTTTTGTTTTTTATTTTATTTTTGTTACCGGGGATTCAACCCAGAGGCACCTAACCGCTGAGTCACATCCCCAACCCTTTTTACTTTTTTATTTTGAGATAGGGTCTCACTAAGTTGCTTAAGGCCTCAGCTAAATTGCTGAGGCTGGCCTTGAACTTATGATCCTCCTGCCTCAGCCTCCTAAGCCACTGAGATTACAGGCATGCAGTACCATGCCTGGTCAATCTTTTGTTTTTTAAAAATAAACTGAATGACCATCTTCAGAGGATGGGTAAAATAAAGTATGGTTCAATAATTAAAACAAAAGAGGGGCTGGGGATGTGGCTCAAGCGGTAGCACGCTTGCCTGGCATGTGTGCGGCCCGGGTTCGATCCTCAGCACCACATACAAAGATGTTGTGTCCACTGAAAACTAAAAAAAAAAAATAAAATAAAATTCTCTCTCTCTCTCTTTCTTTAAAAAAAATTTAAAACAAAAGATCATGGATACTTTCCAAGTATTGTTTCAAAAGAGCTTCAGAATAAATTAAGTAGAAAAAAATCAAGATCTGATCAGTACATATGGTATGCTGATTGTGTAAGAAAGGAAAGAAACAAAAATATATTTTTATTTGCTTCTACTTGTATAAATAAAAGAAGGATATATTGGAATTCTCTGTACCTTCTGCCCAACTTTTCTCTAGATCTAAAAATAAAATTATAAAAAGGAATAAAAGAAAAAGCTTTTAAAAATCAACCCATCAGGCTGGGCACAGTGCTATGCACTTGTAATCCTCAGGCAGCAGACGCTGGAGAATCACCTGAAGCCAGGTACTGTAGCTTGGACCTGGAATGTCCTCCAAAGACCCGTGGGTTGAAGGATTGGCCCCCAGCTGGTGGCACTATTGGGAAGTGGTGGAACCTTTTAGGAAGTACAGCCTATTAGAAGAAAGTTAAGTCACTTGATGCCCTTGATGGGGATATCAGGATGCCGGTCTCTTCCTCTTCCTCCTTGCTTCCTGGCTGCCCGGAGGTGAACAGACATCCTCCTTCATGTGCTTCTGCCATGATGGGCTGTGCTACCACAGCAACAGGTCCAAGTGACTGCGGACTGAAATGTGAGCAAATATAAACCTTTCCTCCTTAAAAGTTGATTATCGGGCTGGGGCTGGGGCTCAGCGGTAGAGCACTTGCCTGGCACGTGGGAGGCCTTGGGTTTGATCCTCAGCACCACATAAAACAATAAATAAACAAATAAAATAAAAATATTTCTTTAAAAAGTTGATTATCTCAGATATTTTGTTGCAGAGACAGGAAGCTAATTAATACACTAGGAGTTCAAAACCAGCCTGGGTAACATAGCAGGACCCCATCTCAAACAAAACAAACAAACAAACAAAAACAAAAACAAAAAAAGAAGAAGAAGAAGAAAAAGAAAAGACCAACTGTGATGGCAGATTCCTATAGTCCTAACTACTTGGGAGGCTGAGGCAGGAGGATTGCTTGAATCCAGGAGTTTAAGACCAGCTTGGGCAACATGGCCATCATCTATTCCATTTGGAAAAGTTTTTTTCAAAAAAGTTTTCCAATACTGGGGATTGAACCCAGGAATGCTCTACCTCCATGCTATATCCCTGTCCCTTTTTTATTTTATTTAGAGATAGGGTCTCAATAAATTGGTTCCCAACTCCTTCTGCCTCAGCCTCCTGAGTAGCCGGAATTACAGGTGTCTTTTGTAGTACATGGGACTTTGATAATTTATTTGGATGAATTTTACAAAAAGAATTTTGTATTTTTTTTTTTTGTTGTTGAGGTAAAAAAGCATGTCCTTAAATAAACATTGAACTAATCTCTCAGATTCAATCCTCATTTCTTTTGTTTGGGAAATCCAAACAGTGTCAAAGCAGGCAAGAGTCTATCCTGGGTGGGTTCTGTGTGAGCTCAGCTCTCAGCGTGGCCCCACCAGTACACAGTCCCAGAGCACCCCTGTGCTGGCAGCCTGCCCGGAGCCAGTACGGAGGTAAGTAGCCCATAGTTCTTGCCCCCAGAAGCTTAGAGTGAAGGAGAGGGGCTTGGACCTGAGTAAGTGTAATATTCTGTAAGTGGCCCTATAGTGGGTGAGTGTGAAGAATTATGGGATTTATTCTTCCTTGAAGAAGGGGGTCTGAGAAGTTCACAGAGGAGAAAGTAGTGGGGAAAGGACAGACTCAGTTAAGAGTGCCGTCTATGCAGGGGCCTGGAGGTGTGGCAATAGATGCATCTGAGGATTGGTGTTGCTGGAACAGAGTATGGAAGGACAAGGAGAGATTTAAAGGGGTGCAGAAGGGATGCTGAAAGTTCATTCTTCACCCCATAATTTAAAAATTGATGTCTCCTAAGACAAAAAAACTGAACAGAATAGATTCCTATAACTGAGCAAGAATCTGCTGCATGACATGCATAGAACCCAGTACCATGTGACTGCCTTTTTGCCAAAAGGAAGAACCTTATTGTGGGTCATCTGACAAGGAGACAGGAGGACACTCAAATCTGTCTCCCTCATCAGCAGCAAAGGCATTTATGTGGCTTTGGGTGAGGGGACTGGAGGGCTATTGGTTGCAACTGGGAGACTTGGGTCAGCCAGCTCTCCAGATGGTCTGCTGGCCCAGGGCATCTTGCGGATGATTCTGGAGCTTCCTGCACCCCTCCCTTTATTCTAGGTCTGTGAGGCCCAATTTTCATTCCTCAGGTTCC